GAAACTCCTGTCTGCTCCACTTTGTTCAGGTTGGAAATGGCCCAGTGAGCATCACTCAGGCATCTCTTTCAGTCCTTGAAGACAAACTGAGTAGCAAAACTTTAACTTGAGGAAAGGGACTGAACCTTTCTGTGCATATTTGCGTATACGCATATGTATAAACAAAGCTGCAGCCATACAAAACATTAGTAAGAAGATCTTGCAAGTTACTCTCAGGAATGGAAGCCTAACAAATGTAGACAGATAGACCAAAATTTGTTCTTCTTTTCCCTAACAGTTAAAATAGTAGGAATGACTTGTCTAATATATCTAATCATTATTAATATTCTCTTGTGGGCTTGGAAGTTTACAGACTGTAGGCTAAGAGATGATGATAAATGGCCTTCAAATGACCATCTTTCTTCATGATAGATCAGCCATTCCTAGATTGGGTAGTTTCTGTCCTGTGTACTCCAGCAAATGCAATAGATGGAGTCATGAAGACTTGAATATAAAGTTACATTTGCCCTGTGTTTTATCTTCATTTTCACTAAACTCCTATTAGCAGAGGTTCCTACCACTCTGGCAGATGCTCCAGCAGCTGGTTAATGGTCTATGAAACATAAATGCACCAGGGACACTGCTCCTCTGAATCCTTTTGCAAAGGAAAGAATCTAAATCTACATATTGTAAAATTGGGCTTTCTCCTTTTGCATTTTAAAAAAGCAGAGCTCATTTACTTTATAACAATTTGGGGTAGGAATAAATATGAACGAAGACAAATGAGCCCTTCCTGTTGCAAGGGCTCCATTATTCCTTTGGGAGGAGTGGATGACTTAGGTGAGGCCTCTGGCTAGCCCAGAACTTACTTCTCCTGGAGGGAAACAGCTCAGTCAGTGGCAGTTTCTTGCACCTGAGGTCACATTCTGACCAGTCTCCCTTTCCTGTCTCCGTATCCTCTAATTCTTTGCCTACAGAGAATTCTCTGATTTCGAGGTACTACATGGAGGTGTGGTTGTTAACTCTGCCTCTGTGCCAAACATCTCCCAACAATTTGGGTGAAGGGAGTCTTTAAGGATATGAAAACTATTTCAAGATTTACTTTTTATTTCAGAATGCTTGTGCATAAAAATGTCCTTGAGAAATACTGACTCCTATGAATTTGCAGGCACTGCCAGAGGCTTTTCCCCTAAAATGATAGCGTTCTTAAACCATTAGCTATTGTAGACTTTGATTATTCATTTTCAATAGCTGTATTTAAACCACAAAGAGCAGCCCTAAGAAGCAGAGGCACAATTGTAGCCAACAACAAAAACATAAAAGAAATAAAATAAAAACCCCAAAAGCAGAATAACTGAGGATTAGCACAGGAACGCTGAGCTTCACCTTTTGTGCCAGGCACCTTGGGTCTCTGATGATCTCCAGGCGTATGAGAAAGGCTTTGCGATCGGCCAATGGCTTCAGTCTGAACGTTGAAGGAAACCTTTTGTCCTCAGGTTGGTGTTTGAAGTCCTGGGCGCTGGGGCTGGCACCTAGTCAAAGCACAGCACAGATCAATTGACTGGAAAAAATGAATGAATTAAGTTTAATGAGAGCCCACAGGAGAAAATGAGCCACTCCACTTGCCAACTATTTGCACAAGAGAAGCTTAAACGGGACCTGAAAGGATTATCCCTGAACACAGCAGCAAGGGAGTCTTCTAGCTCGAGAACACTGCGCACATGCCCTGGAGCATGCGACCGTGGTCCCTGGGTCTGGTGTCCAGGCTGCTGTAAAACCATGCTGCAGGCAGAGCCAGACAGGTGCATGGGGAGTCTGAGTGTGCCTTGGAGAGGCTTCAAGGGTCTCAGTCAGACTTGCATTTTGAAGATTGACTCTGGGGCCCATGAGGAAAGTGAGTCTGGTCATCAGGGACAGGTAGACTGGCCAGGAGGATCCGGTGGGTGTAGGTGCCCTCCCAGGCACTCTGGGTCCTGCATATCCCCTATTTGACAATGTAAGTCTTTTAGAAATGTTGGGGGACTAGTTTTTTTCAGTTCGTTGGTTCTTCTATCATTGAATGGCATAGCCAGGCCCTCATCCTTCCATTTCTTTTACATAAAGAGCTCTTCAAATATCTAATAAAAGGGTTTGGGGGTTGAGTTTTATTCTTAACCTTCAGTTTACTGTGTCTGTTGAATTCTGGTTTTCTATTCTATATCAAAGTTTTAACCTTTGAAAAATTCTACTTTGGGGGCCAGGGATTTAGTTCAGTGGTTTTGTTGCCTGCTGCACAAGTGCAAGGACCTGAGTTTGATCCCTGGTACCAAAAAAAAAAAAAATTCTACTTTGGAACTACAAGATCAATAGAGTCTATGGTAAGGAGTTCTGGCAAAGATACTTTTTCAAATCATTGCCACACAGGCTTTTTAAATAGTTTTAGTGCTGATAATTTTCTCATTTCTGCATTTTAAAATATTTGCCTTTGCAATTCAGCATCAAAACTTTTCTGATTAAATTGACATGTCTAATTGAATGTTTAATTGGATACATATCTTTTTAAACCTATATCTGACCTTCTAGGTTTTCTACCCATGTTTGCAAGAGCGAAATAGATACAGTGGGTTTCACCACTGAAATAAAGCTACTGAGGCACCAAATAATTATTAATTTAGGGCTCAGTGGCACCAGTAAGCACCCACAGAGATCTGCCCTTAGCATTGATGTGCTCAAAGGCAGTTCTCTATACCCTGGTGCTTAGGGAAGCATTTCTTTTCTCCTTAATACAAAACAGACTGAGAAGCCCTCCTCTTCCCAATGTGCATGCTTTTAGAGCTTGGTGCTGCTCCAGATGCCACTGAATTTAGCATCATTTGAGAGGACAGCCACCAGGGTTCCAAGAAGGTGGGGCACATGCCAAGAGAGGGTGTCTTGCTTGGCAAGGCCACCCAGAGCCCTTGGGATGGCTCCAAAGCTGTTCAGTGGTGCTAATCCAGGGAAAAGTAAAGGGTTACTCCTATTTCCATTCCCTGCCCTCCTGCCACATACTTGAGCTCTTCTTTTTTGAACTTTAATTTTCCATGAGTAGTAAATAGCCAAAAACTGCTCAAAATGTTCTCCTTACCACTAGGATTGGTATTTTTACTACCTACAAAGCCTTAGCCAAAAGGGCTGGGTAGATTTTCAGGCTTCCTGCAGCCTCTTAAAGAAGATTGGGTGCAAGGGGTAGGGGCCTATTTGCAGGAGCCCTGAATCATAGGGATGAGCTGTGGATTCTGTCAGTAAAAGAAAGCAGTCCTGCTTGGGACCAGAAGGGTGCAGGCCTCTGGATACCACCAGCCCTTCTAAACCAATGTGGAAAGGCCAAGGCCCCTTCATGTGAGCTCAACTGTATTCTGTAAGTTTAGCTCTTTATCATATGAATGAGTGTGCTTGAATTCCTAATAAAGCACCACATGGATCATGTTGGACCAGGGTTCTCAAATTCTAAAGTGCTGAATCACTGGTGAATCTCTCAGTAAAGTGCTGATCCTGACTCAGTACTAGTTGGGCCATCTAGTCCTGCTTCTCTGGTGAACTGTTACGTGAAAGGGAAGCTGCATGGACTATACCTGAATCCATGAGGCCCTGACCAATGATTCTCAGCTCCGGCTACAGATTAGTATATCTGGGGAGCTTTTGAAAATCTTGATGACTGACTGCACCCCTACACCAATGAAATCAGAATACTTAGGGCAAGACCAAGATATCAGTAGCTTAGGATGCTCTGCACATAATTTCTGCCCAGGTTGAATTTGTGTGCAGGGCCTAAGTGGGTATTGGGACTCATTCTGACCACTTTGGAAATCAACCAACAGTTTGTTGCATCTGTCACGATCTGTCCTATAAGTGTATGGGAATTAAAATGAGCAGCTACTTTCAGTGAGTCTATCTCTAAAGTTTGCAAGGACTGTTCCACCACGGTCTGTTCACTTGTGTGTACCGGCCAGAGTCTCCACTGAAGCCCTCAGAATGTTCTTGCTATTCTCTGTTCACCAGCAGCTCCATTCTTAACTGCTCCCAAATTCTTCTTGGCAGGCTGACTGGGGCTGTGAGGAGTCTAGATGAGAATAAAACCACAAATTTAATCTTGCTATAGAGCAGGGGTTTGCGAGCCTGCTGCATATTCAAAGTGCCCATTGGATTCAATATGTTCCGGTAGCTTTAAAAGCTCCCTGGGTGCTTCTAACCTGAGATCAGGGAGGAGAAGAATGAAATGAAATATTAAAGAATATTTATATTTGCTTCAGTATTTTTTAAAAAGCTGGTCAGATGATAAGATGTAGACATGATTTTTAAATATGGATTTAATGATTTTTATTACTTTTAAAATATATATTCTCACCTCCAGTCCCACATTTGCTGTTTTTGAGGAAGCTATTGGGTAGAAGAGACTCCTAAGCCCTATTTGCAGTGAATCATCCTGGAAGAAAAATTACCTGGAGCACTGCCTTTATTAGGGTACAGTTGGCCACTAAAACAAATAAAACCCAAACCTTCAGGGGCTTGACACAGTGGGAAGCTGGTGGGCAGGTAACCAGGTTAACGTGGCAGTTCTCTTCAGTCATTCCAGGGTCCCCTGCTGGGGCTCCTAAGCTGGCCCCTGGAGTTTTCTGTGTCACACACAAGGGAGGGAAGGAAGCAGGTGGGGCTTCATGGAGTCCTCCCCAGCTGGACAAGGGCACATGTTTTCACAGTCCAATGGCCAGAGCGGTCACAGGCGCCCTGGCCTTGTTTGAATGTGTGGCTGCAGTCCTCTGCTTCCCTGCAGTTCCACAAAGACAGCCCACAGCCCTGGTTGGCAGTGGGAGTGTAGGACAGCCAGCCAGTGGGCAATGGCATGCATGCAGGACATCAAGGGTCAGTGAGCTCCCAGACAGGTGTGGCAGCTGCACTAGGAGCGCAGACTCCAGGCAGACTGGGCCCATGAGGATGACTGTGGGGCTACAGAGCTGGAGTCATGATCTGAAAGGCACATGTTCTCTTTCTCCTTCTCTCCCCAGATATCGCAAATGGCAGCAGTTCAGGGGGGTACCGCCCACCTCCCAGAACCAAAGAAGTCATCATCAATGGCCAGACTGTGAAACTTAAGTACTGTTTCACCTGCAAGATTTTCCGACCCCCTCGCGCCTCCCACTGCAGCCTGTGCGATAACTGCGTAGGTGAGTAGGGCCTCAGCCCTGGCGGGCGGGTAGTGGATTTGCTCTGGATAAGCTTTGGGCTATGGAATCAGTGTACTCCTTAATCCTACCAACTGAAAGACTCAGCAATGGTTAATGTTTCTACGTGTTTGCCTGTTGCCACTGATCCCCTCTCCAGGCCCAGAGTTACCATTCTCTCTTCTGTTTTTTTGGTTTTTATATCCTGCATTGTGCTAGGCCTCCTCCCTCAAAGCATGCACCAGGGTGAAGGGTCTTTTGTACAAGGAGTGTCAGATCAGGAGCCATGTACAGTAAAACCATACCTCTAGATGGCACAGGTGTTCTTCTGACTTCTCAGAGGGGTCTTCGTGGCCTTGGAGGCATCAGATCCAAAGGAGAGGAAAAGCGGCAAAGGCAAAGACTGCTTCTTCTAGGGATTAGAGTTAGAATCTTTGTTCTTTCCAGGGACCACCAGGACCTCTGCTCTCTGCTCGCTTTCTCCAGGACAGAGGGAAAATAGACAGAAAAGAGACAGAGCCCAGAGGTCCTCCGCAGTAAGACGTGGTCTTCCTGTTGACCCGCATGGGACTTCTCCAACCAATGTGAGTCCCAGGCACACTGGAGTAAGTCAGCAGTTGCTTCCTGTTCCTCATTCTGAGAGCCACTGCCCACATCCACAGGCCATTGTCCTCCCCAGGCTGGAGCTCCTTGGAAGGCTTCTAGTAGAAGTGACCTGACCAAGGATATTCCTGGCTAAATAAGCATGAAATCCTCTGCTAGCCCAGACCTTAAGGTTAAGAATACACCTCAGAACAAACCCAGTTTCCCTTAGGACTACCTCATAGATTTCCAACTCTTTCCTTGAGTGTGAGAAATTGAAGTTTCAATTCTTATTGAGAAAAACAGAATTTTATAACATACTTCTTGGTCTACCAGGCAGACTTTGATTTGCCTTAAATTGCGTTAGCCTAACCTTAATAATCCACAATTTTGTACAAAGGCCATGTTTTCCCTAACAAGTTTTGTCTTGGTTTCATTAACTTAAATTGCTTTTAGTTTTTGCCTCCCTGGTGGAACAGCATGGAATTGTATTCCATCTTCCCCATATAGTAAAGAGCCTCCAATTAAAAGCCTGAGATGTGGTGTTGCATGGCCTGGATTCCAAATATTCACTGTGATTTAGACAAGCTACTTAAACTCTCTGTATCTCAGTTTTTTCATCTCTACTGTGGGGTTGAAAACAATGCCTGCCTTGTAGGATGGCTGGGAGACTAAAGAAGTAAATACATGAAAAGCACTCAAAATAGTGTCTGGCTTATGGCAAATGATCCCTAATTGTTAGCTACTACTACTACTATTACTCCTGCTACCTTGATGTCTGTGAGTGGCTTTCTCTGGACAATTCCTTTATATACTGTAGCCCTCTGCAGGTGTGGTGAGCAAAACTATAGCTAGTCCTCCATGTGGGGATTGGATTTCTGCAGACTTTGTTTCATTTGACACCCTTCATGGCAACATCAGCCTCTGTAACCAAATCATACCCATCTTGAGGACACTTTTAAGCCAAAGCAGCACAGTGGCTTAAATATCCTCAGGGGAATAATCTGTACGAATTCTCAAAGCCCTTTCCTGAGTTGTCATTTTGAGCTCCAGGGCTATTACAAGATGCACTAGTACACTTACATAAACTCATCTGTTGCTTTGCATACTCACTCCTGTGGACCTAATGACGTATTCTGGTCTGCATTTTGATAAATGGGGAGTTTTTATCTACTAGCCTGTTTAATAAGCACATCCTTTTGTATCATTTATAAAAACTTTTATCCACTTCTAAACACCCCTGTTTCCACTTATTCATTTTCATTAGTTGATTTCAATCTTCTGTTTCCTGTCTCTAGGCTAGATTCCTAATCATAATTTTAAAAAAAACCTTTCCTTCCCATATTATAGTGCCTTATTGTTTAAAAATTCCCCTAGGATTATTGTCAGATGGTTTCTAAAAGTTCACACAATTACTCACAATTTGTTCCCACCATCACCCACGGTGTGTATGTCCATTAAAGAACCCTAATGAATTGGATGTAAGATCTCCTTGCCAAAATTAAATACACTTGCTCCACTTGCTGGTGGGCCTCTTCCATAGTAAACCTGTTTGAAGTGGTGTCCTCACATATAAAATCTAACAGCCATAAGTCTAGAATATCCAGGAGTCAGCTGAGGACTCTTTGGAGAAATCAAAGTCACAAGGGCAATCTAACATTCCTCAAGCAAACATATTGGTATCCCATAAACCAGAGGCCCTGGACAGCAAAAGAAAAGAAAAGGAGAGGAGGTGACAGAGTCTGGGTTGGGATCAAGAGGACAAAGCTGAGCAAGGAGCACACTACCAAGGTGGCCTCTAAGTGTTGATCCACAGTCCTGGGGCTGGAGCTTGGCCAATCCTGATCAGGGCCTAGCTCCAAGGGAGGACAGGTAAAATGAGCAGCATACAGTTGGTTTAAAACAAAGCTGCTCATGGGCTCTTCAGAACCCCACACAATTATTCAGATCTACATAGCTTTGGTTTTCCAGTTAATTACATGACACTCAGGCCTCTGGCATGACCAATGAGCAGGCCAGCAGATTGGACTTCTGCAATGAGGAAAATAGAGTAGAAAACAGATGTCTCCCACAGAGAAGTGTAATTGCAGAGTTTGCCACTAGTTTATTTGTAGATAGAAAGTTTTAACTGAAAGACTGCTACTTTTTGCAGCAAGGGAAAAGTACAATGATGTGCTAAAAGCCAGCACTACAATATGTGATTTCCCTTCCCCTGTAGAAATGGCTTTGAGTTACCACATCCCAGGCATAATAGAAAAATGTTTCTTTGCCTTAGGAGAGGAAAGAAAAATGCAATTTTCTAAGTAGGTTGGAAGAGTATTTTTCTTTGTTAAATAAGTTTGAAATGAGAGCCTAGTCACAGGGGCTCTGTGTTTTTCTTTTGTTTTTGAGGAAGGAACTTTCTTGGGGAGGAAATGCTGGTGCAAACATAGAGCCAGTTGGCAGAGCCTTTGACCCTGTCATTAAATAATCCTGGAACCTGCAATTAACCTGAACACTCCCAACTGTTTCTACCTCTGTAAAATGGGGTGATCCTAGTGCTATCTCATAGGTTTCTTTTAAGGATTAAGTGACACTGTACCCAGAAAAGCACCTAATATAGACATGGGAAACTGTGTTAGTCACTCCCATCATTGGGATGAAGTACTGGACACCTGCAACTTTGACTCATAGTTTCAGAGGGTTCAGTCCATGGTTGGCTCGCTACAAGACAGAAATGGCAATTAATGCTTTTCTCATCAGTAAATGATGAAAATGCCATCATTAGTGCTTCAAATAACTGATTAAAATAAGACTTATCCTCACAGAAGCATAGAAATCACCCTGTTTTTGTAGTAGGATTTAGATGATCTGCAGTAATGGAAGTAGGTATATTCTCTCTGTCTCTCTGACTTGGTCTCCATTTAGCTCTTATTTCTGTCAGTCCCTTTCTCTGAATCTTCTCTATCTCTACCTCTTTCTCCCAGTGTTGCCATCAGATCACTTCTGCACATTTAGAACAGCCCTTGGGATTGTTTGTTCTCCAGGTGAGCTTTGAGCTTATAAAATATTGTTAAACAAGCAGCAGCTGGGACCAGGAACCACTCTGCTCTCTCAGAGCCTCACGTCCTCAGATCATTAGCATGAGGGTAACCCAAGAAGCTGAAAGCAAAACATGGTTTCATGAGGCCCTCTCAAACTGACCACAAACATCCTACAGCCAGGAATGTGTGCTCTCTTCTTGACCAGATGGGCCCTGGGGGTCAGTCTGTCCCTTGGTGGACCCTGGTCCAGTGTCAGAATGGCCAGAGTTTTCACTGGAATTCTTTTGTTTGTTTTTTTACTTTGTTTTGGTTTTTCTTGTAGTTTGAGGGGTTGAACCCAAGGCCTTCAAACTGAGCTATATTCCCATTTCTATTTTACTTTGAGAGAGGGTATCATTAAGTCACTAAAGTTGTCCAGAATGGGCTCAAACTTTTGATCCTCCTGCCTTCGCCTCCCAGAGTGCAAGGATTAGAGTTGTGTCCCACCACTCCTAGCTTGGAATTGGTATTTTTAATATAACCTAAACCTATACTTGAAATTAATTTAATCACATGCTGTGGACAAATCAATTAGAGAGTTTACTGAACGTGAACATGAAGTATCATAAGCATTTGCAAATCAACTGTACAAGGGTCTGTATATATTTGATGAAACAGAAACAGCTTCTCCTAGAGGCTGAGAGAGAGGCCATGGCTGCCTGGGTCCCAGCCTGCTGTCCTTTCTGAGCCTGGAGACTCTCCCACAGCTGCAGTGCCACATTTGGAGGGGTTGCAGGGACAAAGAAGGTAGCACATGAAGCCCTCGGGTTATGTTGCACCCTGGGATCCATGAGCAGTGCCCAGCTGCCCCAGCTTCCCTCTCACAGGGTGAGCCCTGATCCTATTTTCTCCTCCCCTCCCTGTTGCTTCTAGTCCACATAGTGAGAACCTCCAGAACCCTCTGCAGAGATTCAATGTCCAATCACTGCTGGTTTTAGTGCAGCTTTACCACCCTTTTAAAAATCCCTATGAGTCCTCTTCTTACCGTCTTGCTCTTTCTGGCTGTACTTTCTCTCCTGGACCTTTAACTATGTTTACTGTGTTCCTTCTTGTGTCCCTCAGTGTCCCCTCCCATCACTCCTCTGTGACTTGAGTGTCTGAGCTTGGACTGCAGACTCCTGGAATTGTGTGTTCTGTGGTGTCCCGCCACTGCCACTCCTCAGAACCTAGTTTCTACTTCACAATCATAGCCAGCATTAAGGGGTTTGAAATGGCTGAGGTTTGGCATTGCAGCTTCCTTCTAATAGAGTAGCATTCTGGAATTTCTGCTGAACCAGTTGGGGCTGATGAGAGGGCCAATAATTTCCTGTAGGAAAGTATATCATTTGAGGGGAATGGAGGGAGCTGACATTTGTGTCT